TTTAAGTTTAGTGATTTTTAGTTTTGACCTACAATGATGAAATCTTTTATGTTTTAACAGTTCAATATACTTTAACCACTCAGCATTAAGAAATTGCCATTTTTTTATAATAATGCACAAAATGTAAGTAAAGCACACAGCTCTCTGCTAGAAAGCAGCAAATCAGCTTTTTTCTGTGTTATTATACTGAAACACTTGGGGGCAATGTCATGATTCTGCATAGTCATAAATCTATTGTAAGATGGCAGATGAGTGGTAGACAGCAAAGATTTGGTTGTGTTGAATGTCATTTTGTGGGTTTCTGGCTGTGTGCCCCCCACTGTGACCAGTTGGCAATACTTCAGGCATATGCCATTAAAGCAGTAAACTATATGTGAGCACAAGGAAGTATGTATATATATATGCTATATTAGTTTGTTTCAGGGAAAAAGTTTATCTGCTCTGATGGGATTTTTGTTAATGTAGAATTCTCTACATTAATGCTAAAGTTGTCGTTGTACTTGGAAAACCTTATGTTTTAGCTGAATAGTTGTTGGCTCTCATCAGTTAAAGTGTGCGTTTGTGTGTATGTATATGTGTATGTGTGTGTGCATGTGCGTTTGTGTGTGTGCACACACAAGCGCTTGTCATTGATTGACCAGCAGTTATTCCCTTAGGCCTATGTGTGTGTGAAGATGATTGACAGGTTTGGATTAGCAGCTCAAAACCCTCTGTTCTGTCATAGATTAACTCTGTCGGTACAAACAGACGAATACAAATTACCATATACACACATGAATACTGGAATTCAGACACACGTTTTTAAAAGCTATTACAGGCTGTCAGTGTTGTGAAATCTGTCACTTAAACAAGCAGCTCCACACAGACCTAGTGAATGACCTGGCTTTGGACAAGTTAGGAAATGGTAAGAGCCCAGAGCTGTAAAGTACAGAGAACAGAAAACAAGTCAAAATTTGGAAAAACTCTGATAAATACCTCTGTTATGTTTGTGTTTTCTTTTGTGTGCTGTACTTTTGTGGCTTTTTGCAATCAAGACATAAACAAAAACAAAGGGAAATAAAATACTTTCTTTTGTCTTAAGTTCATTGTTCTGTTCTTTCAGTTCCGCTATAAAAGACGTGTCTACACTCAGACTCACCTGGATGAAAAGCAGCTCTCAAAGCTCCACACCAAGGTAAGATCAAACCTGTCATCCTGACATCTATAGAGCTTTTTCTTTGTTTAACCTTCTCAACTAAGTGAATGACACATCTCAAGTACAATATATTAAACTTATTTACTTATGTATTATTGCTTAATTCATTCATGTGTAATCGAACATGTTGTTCAGCCATGCAGAGCCCTAACACCCATGCATAAGAGCGAAATGCACTCGTACACAGCGAAGCATGGCAGATGTCATAAACTAGGTCTGTGTGCTGTGATCAGTATTAACAAAGGGAAAGAAAAGTCATAATGGTTGCATTTGTTTCCCATCATGTGACACGTTAATCCTACGTTTCACCACTCCTGCATAATTACTTCTGCCAAAATACTCAGCATAGTGCTTCTTTGTATCCCGAACATGCTTTACCAGTCTGTACTTGGTGGATAGGCAGAGTTATAGACGACACTAAAAAAGTCGTTCAATCCGACATACCAAACAGCTAACCCTGGCAGTTGGTGGTCAAGGGCAGGCAGGTTGTTAGGATTGCAGATACATAGATCTGGCTCCTAAGCAACATTGACAATATGACAGTATGTTCTGATGATAGGGAGTAGGTACAGTCTAATTTATGCACAACATTAGATACAAATATGAAAACAGATGGAGCCTTCTGTCTTTACACTGCGTTCTTTTCACTCGATTTGGAGCAGTATCTCTGGAAATTGTGGGGGGCCAGTTTAGACAATTGTTTAAGCGAGACAAACGTAACACCGAAGGAAGAAATTTCAACACTGGCAGAACCTTTTTTGACAGTTGCTGCGAAATTCCAAATATTTATAAGAAGTTACTTTGCCCAGGCACTGGGACAAGGATTTTTAAGAGGTACATTATCACAGTCTTCATTACCATTGCCATGTCTGTTGCTTTCAGAAACTCTTGACTCTGTGCTGCCCTTTAGTGGATGTATTGTTTAAAAGCCATGCCAACATAAAAAACGCATGGAAGTGTGGGCAGTGAAGGTTACAGCATTTGAAGTTACTTTACATGTGGAGTGGTAGCTCTGAAGTACCAGGAGATGCAAATGAGACTGATTTTGTGTGAGTGAGAGAGAGATGCATGTTTTTGTGCGCATTTATGTGGGTTTAATGAGTCGAGCAAAGGGACAAGAATTGAATGCATTTGCACCAAAGCCCATCAGAGGGCAGGAGATTTACACCGGGGAGAATCAATAGTGTCAACTGTGCATTCTTGTGTGTTTTTCTTGAGAGAAAAGAATAGTTAGGGCTGCTTTTGAAATAACAGTTGTTTTTACTCTTTTCTATGGGAAAAGATCATTTTACAGCTTTGGTCAAAATAAACGGGGGAAATAACAGTTCAGTGTTCAGCATATGTTGATTTTGCCATCAAATTATGTTTTTATCATATTATTGACCCTCATAATCATACTTAAGGGAACTAAGGGAAGATTTGATGTCTCTTTGCTAACCTGATATACTCAACCAAGATTATTTCCTGCCCTGTTGCAACTAAAGTGGTATTTTGGCAATATACATCATCTGAAAAAAGAGAGAAGTGCAATTTGTGAAATTTTCAAATGAAAATAAGAGTGTGACTCTTGTAACCAGGGATGGACTGAAATAATAATTTAGGTTGACATCATCCAAGGACACCCTGTTCCCACAAACCACCAGTATGCTAACTTTGTAGGCTAACCCTACTAATTAAACAGTAGTATTTTCTTCCACAGCTGCTCATGTAGCCAATTTCAAACTCAGCGGGTGTATTTCTGGGGACCCCAGGGAATGTGGTGCAGACTGAGAATTTCTTTTGTGTCAGAGTTTGTTGAGATCCCAACTCCTCATTTATTTCAAAACTGCACTTGCTCTGCACTACAATGACATCAGCATTTTAATGACGCTCTGATGATGCAATATAACATTACAATATGTTGCTTTGTGTGCAACAGGCACAATTTGAATGGTCAAAACATAGATACTTATCTATTCCTCTCCGCAGGCACATAGATAGCGGGTGGTGGCAGATGCGTTACATGTTGAGTTATGTGAAAATATTCCTCTGTAAAATACTTTTTAACTCTGACATTAGATAAGCACTGCATTCATTTTTCACAGCAGTTGTTGTAGCTACCTGACTCTGTCATTCAATGCTTTTAAAAGGTCTTTGTCTTTATCAGAAAAACATTCTCTTGTGCTCGTAGTAGCAAAGAAGTAGTAGCTTTAAGCGAGTGATGTTACAGAGATACAGAATAGATCACTGGTGTTTCTCTCTGGTAATTGTGCATTTGTTGCATAATGATGTCCAGGGGTTGAGAGGGAAATCCTGTTACAAATGACTATTGCACCCTCGGAAGTCACAGTTATCACTATTCGTTGCGCAGCGAGCTGCCCTGTGAGGCAGAGGTCAAGCATTACCCTACTTTGCTAGTACGCAGCTCATTGGCCGCAGGCTAAAGTTTAAAATTAGGTCATAATTGATAGGATTTTTTTCCCCCTCTTCACCTGACCCAAACAGACCTTCATAGCCTGTCCTGGTTAACCATGAAGCACGGCTGCATGAAAAATTGACATACAGTATAATTTTATTGAATAAAGGAGTACTTGTGTAGTATAGAAGATCGGCCATGTGATAAATAGGATTGCGGATTGCATTGCGTTCTTGTCCCACCCCCTTTTTTAATATATAGTCCTCCAAGTATTTCACTCAAACTTTATAAAGAACTCAAATTTAACCCTTTCAAATTTTCCCATTTGAGCAATTAAGTTTGTGTAGTCTACTCATACTGAATAAAGTTTATATCAGTACTTCATTCAACACACTAACATTCTACACAAGCAATTGGATGCAGTGTATTGAAGATACGTGTTTTATTCCTTCACATCAAACGGAACTATTCTGGGTGTGCGTCATTCATCCACTTTTCACAGTGATGTGTTTAGTCGTAAGCGGTATCCAATCAGAATTTAAGATAAAGTTCTGTGGGCTGGAACTGATTGAATTTATGAGAACCGCATTCAAGCAAATGAATGAGCACTTACTTCCAAGATCACCTACGTCTTGCTGTCTTATTCTTTAGGAACAAGGTACTAATGGTTTAGCTGAGACAAGGATTCATCAGTGCAAATGTTTGTGGACCTCTTAATTCAAAAGACAGTCTTAAACAGACCTCATGCAGTTTACAGTTTCCTTCGATAAAAAGACGATAAGATCAAAATATAAATTTACTTTATATAATGAACGGAAGCCCTGGGCATAAAGATGGACAACAGTTAGGGGATTAGTGGAAGAAAATATATGAGAGGCGCATACAGTAGTAGAGTGCATTTAGTAACGCACTATTTGGTAATGTGGTCACGAACGCCACAGAGCACACAGCCAGAACGAGGGCATTTCATATGTGTTACTATAATGAACCAGTCTAGAAATCACTTGCCGTATTAAAATACAAACTTGCACTTGGGATAAAACAGATTAGTCTTTTCCAGTTTGATTCACAAGCTAAACTCACACATTTTTGTTGGTGTACGTGTGGGAGAGCACAATTCACAAAAGGCTCTCACATAAAACATATTGCAGACTAATGCTATTCCTCCTACGCTGAGGCTTTGTATTGTCGTTAGCAGCTTATTATATTTGTGAATGAGAATTCCTGCATCATTTTCAGTTCACAATGAAACTACACAGAGGATGTAGCTCATTGTAGGTGTGAATTGTTCTGAGGTGCCAGATCCCACAGAATATTCGTAGAGCGCAAAAAACCCTCCTAACACCACAGTGTTATTGCAGCTGCAGCCAACATTAAATTTGTTATGGGATTTTTGCATAATTCACACACACATGCACAAGTGGCTGCTGCATGGCACAGGATAAGAGGATATTTCCACTGGGGAATCCCTTTACGCTCCCCTTATTGACGATCCCATGTGTGAACATGGACATCTGTGTAAAAAAAAACACACAACTTGGAATTATAAAAAAATTACTGAGACGTCAAGAAGGCTCAGCTAAAATGAATTGTTTTAAATATATTTTATTTAACTTTCTCAATATATCCCACCCACCTCAATAAAACTAAAACCCACAACCACACACCATATGTATCTCTGTATTGTTTGTTAAAGTGTAAAGAAAATATGTACTTCATATACATGTACATATACTCCTTGTAAGTGTAATATTTTCAGGAACACTAAGACACAAGCACATGTCCATTAGTCAACAGTCATGAAGCCTGTAATATCGTGTAACGCAATGTTGCTGTAAAAACAGACATTTTCTGTTTCTATCAAGGGTTTTCCTCCTCTCTGTCTGCCCATTCTTTTCAGTATTCCCTCTCACTTTGTATAATTCCATATCTTCCCTCTCTCCTACATCCCACTCATTCTACCGCTCATTTTCTCCTCCCTTTATTTTCCCTCCCTGTTCTCTAGCCCTCTCTCTCTTTCTCTCTCTCCCCCACCCTCCCTCTGTTCTCGTCAGCATCCTGCAAAATCACCCCTTACCATCTCTCCGTCTGTCTATGCATGCACAGGAGTCACTGTGCGCGTCTGTGCTCGGTTGAGTGTTGGTGTGAGTGACCATGTGAGTCTGCATGTGCTTCTTTGACAAGAACAGAGCTAGCAAAGCAGAGAGAGAACAAGAGGAGAGGCCACGAGGAGGAGGGGGACTGTATATGGCCATGTGGAGGATGTTTTGGCATTGGGACTGTAGCTGACCTTCGGGAGTGCGTGTGTGACAAGGAGTGTGTTCGTGTGTTCGTGTGTTCGTGTGTGTGTGTGTGTGTGTGTGTGTGTAAATGAGATGGGATCCGCACTGGGCAGAAGACAGGCAGCCGTGAGAAGGGAAAAAAAAGCTAAAGAAGCCAGGAAGGCCAGACTCAATAGTAAGGTACCCCAATTGCTCTCACCATCTTTTTAATTTAATTTTAACATGATCCTTTGTGTAAATGCACTTATTTTCTTCGTCTCTCTCTTTTTGATACTTTCTGCCTCCAATTATTCACAAACACT